CCTATATATTTAACAGGATTATTGACATATTTTTATCCAACATTTCTAGGTTTTTAGTAGATCAAAATGTTTCAAGATATCTAGTTTTTACATCCATCAGTTTTCTAAGAACTCTTAATAGTCACATGTGAAGTCTCTTACTTTCCAAGGCTTTATCTTTTCTCTCACTCTCTATTTTTCATCCATGCTTTGAGATCTTAAGTCCACTAATTAGGGTGAACTGGTTAAAAAATCATCAGCTAAAAGAGCAGAATATTATCTTTGGTACTCTATTTGAATCTCAAAAGCTCTTTGTATAAATGAAATTCAAATGTTCCACAACAGCCTCCACCAAAGTTCTACTTCACCGGGTACATAGTTTGATGATTCTCTTATCCTGCCTCTGGCTAGTAGGCCCCTTTAGATGAGTTGCTATTTTTCACTATCCACAGAGTCAAGGTCAAATCTCATGGCTGTGTATTTTAAATGATGAGATCGCTGCAGGTGGTGTCAGGCAAAGCACCCTCTAAACTTACTGACTTGTAGTATAAAACTTAGCAAGCTGTAAGTTCTGCACCATGAGCCCCTGGAACCAGTATGATAGCACTCCAATCTTCCTATACATCAACCCACAAGTTTAAGGATGAGAAGACTTAACCCGCCATTCCAGATATTTTTTGGCTTTTTGTGGACTGAAATAGGTGAATTAAAGTTTGTTTTAAAGTTTTAAACTTTGTTTCTCCTGTAATTTCTATTTTATGAATGTGTCTATTTTATCATTATAAATAATTCTTCTTTATCTAATGGTTATTGCTTTTTGGCTTGTATTCTAATTTGTCCAATATTAAGATCATGATTTCTACTTTCTGCTTTCTTTGTGCTTATATGGTAAATCTTTACTTATCCTTTTACTTTTAACCTTTCAAAACCACTTTGGTTTTCTGGTGTGTTTCTTGCGTATAGAACGGGTTTTATTACTGTGATCAATTGTGATATTTTTCTTACAACAGGTGATGTATAAAAGCTTTTACATTTATTTTTTATGACAGTATGACTGGTCTTAGATATGTCATATTTTATGTTATGCTTACTGATCTTTACAGATTTTTTAAAGTTCCATTACATATATTGTTCTTAGTTTTATCCATACAGATCTTAAATATTTTGAAAGCTCTATAATTTTATAGAACTGCTTATCTCTTTATGAAAGAATAAGTAATCCTACATCTGTTTAAAAAGCATATTTCCCTACTATGAGAAATGTAAATGTCAGCATATTTGCTCTTAATTTTTTCCTTTCATCTACATCATCAAATTTTAGTCAATAGGCCTATATTTGTAATATTTCATCTGTACGCTTACATGGAAATTCTGACTCTTTGCACTTGCTCTGCTTTCCTTCTTTTCTCACCCCTCCCAATTCATTTTAACCATAAAACTAAGACTAAAATAAATGTAGGTATTACTGTGATAGATCAGAATTTACTTTTTATATATTAGCATAAATTTATTCAGTGCTCACCAGCTGTCCTTAGCAATAGTTTCTCCAGTCATTCCTACTTGGTTGGACTTTATCCCCAGCAATTTCCTCAAAATTTAGTCACAGAAATAATTTGCTGTATGGCTTAAAAATGTTTGACAGCATTCTTTTTACTTAAAGGATAGTTTGCCTCCCACTTTCTTCATTTAAGTATCTTATGATTGTTATAGATTTTTGTATTGAAGATTATTTTAGAGTCTAAAGCCAGACTCATTTTTCTCTTTATTTGTGCACTAATATACAAAGTATTCTTATATTTAAGTCCAGTAACACACCTTGATGCTAATCATTGTAGGTCAGTTTTCCCTGGCACACAATATGTCCTCTAAATAAGAATGGCAAAATCTTACATCAAGACTTCATTGAATTATAGATTTAAATATTTGTTTTGTTCCATTGTTCTGCTTTTCTTATTTGGGAACTCTATTTATGCCATTATTATTATTATTATTATTATTATTATTTGAGTCGGAGTCTCGCTCTGCTGCCCAGGCTCTGGAATGCAATAGCACAGTCTCAGCTCACTGCAACCTCTGCCTCCTAGGTTCAAGCGATTCTTCTGTCTCAGCCTCCCGAGTAGCTGGGATGACAGGCGCCCACCATCATGCCCGGCTAATTTTCGTATTTTTAGTAGAGATGGGGTTTCACCATGTTGGCCAGGCTGGTCTCAAACGGCTGACCTCACTGATCTGCCCACCTCGGCCTCCCAAAGTGCTGGGATTACAGGCGTGAGCCACCACATCTGGCCGATTTATGCCATTATGGTAATTTGTTTTTCTCCCATGTTGCTCATTTTCTTTCTAATCCTAAACTCACGTTTTCATCTATTCATATTATTTGCTTTTTTTTCACTTTTATCTTCTGTGTACTTCACTATGTTACTAGCCAGAGTTTTGCCTTTGAGCAATTTCCAATTTTATTTTTTTGTGTATAGTTCTTTTCCTCCAGTATTTGTCCAATGTTTTATTAGCTCATAATTAAATACTTCCATGCTATCTGTGCTAGTCTGTTCTCACACTGCTATGAAGAAATACCCAAGATTGGCTAATTTATAAAGGAAAGAGGTTTAATTGACTCACAGTTCTGCATTGCTGGGGAGGCCTCAGGAAACTTAACAATCATGGTGGAAGGCAAGGAGAAGCAGGCACCTTCTTCACAGGGCAGCAAGATGGAGTGAGGGAAAGCAGGGGAAATGCCAAATGCTTACAAAACCATCAGATCTCATGTGACTCACTATTACAAGAACAGCAGGAGGGAGCTGCCCCCGTGATCCAATTATGTCCACCTGGTCCCACCCTTCACACATGGGGATTACAATTCAAGATGAGATTTTAGGTGGGGGGACACAACCAAACCATATCACTATGTTAACATTTCTTACAACCTTTTTTTTTCCAGAAGGGGATCTTGCTCCATTACCCAGGCTGGACTCAAACTCCTGGGCTCAAGCAATCCTCCTGCGTAAGCCTCCTGAGTAGCTGGATTACTTCTCCAAATTCTGTTTAGTGGTTCTTTCTCAGAAGCTACATATGTATGTATGTATGTATTTATTTATTTATTTTTAACTTATGATAGCAAATTTTTAAATCAAAATACTTTATATTCCATAGCAGTATTTTTCTGCTAAGTGCTATTCATGTACTGATTACTTTAACTTATTTTTTCCATGTTTTTTATCTGATACACATGCACTGATGATGTGCCAATTCTTTTGATACAGTCTAATTTATGTGGAACATCCGTCTGCAGGACACTTCCATGACCATGTGTAAAAGAAGGGACAAGGGTAATCTTTTTGCTTTCACAATCCAAAAACTTTCTCTTTCTCTATAGCTACAGAGACAGACTGCTTGCCACAAATGTAGGTCATCTGTGTAATTCTTTGTGATATATCTTCTCCTTTTCTGAAACCAATCTGATTTAAAAAAAACTCTGCTATCAGGCATGATATATGTATATCTATTATTTCAAACAAATGATCTATTTTTGTAATTTAAGGTGTGCCTCTCATCTTCAGAAACTGTACTTTCACTGACACTTCCTATTTGCTATAACTGAACTCTCTCACCACTCTTCGTATTTTCTCTTTAGCCTTAACAGCTTTTACCCAACCTTAGCAACTTTAAGCAGCTGATACCCATATTCTGGGGTTCATATATTTGCATCTGTCTTCTACTTGTGATAATATTTGTGATAGAGAGTACATTTTTTACTTCTTGTTGTATCATTTATACATTTTACAGGAAAAGAGGGGAAAATGGGGCATCTTAAACACCACGTTTATACAGGAAATTGTTTGTTATTTTTAATTTGGTAATGAGTTTTCATCTTTTTATAAATTTTTTAATGTGCTTTCTTGACATTTTTAGGAGGCTGCATCTTGGGCTACAATCCTTTAACTTTGTCCAATCAGTTTATTTTAATTAACTGAAGTTAAATAAGCGATCTTTATCTCTTAATATAAAAAGAGCATATGGTTCTTTATTCCCAGTATTCTGTCACCAAGTGTACTTACAGTTCCATGTACGTGTGTATGTATATGTGTGTGTGTGTGTGTGTGTGTGTGTGTGTGTGTATCCTTTTCTACAATCCTGGCCTTGTTTGAACTATTCCTTATATTCATAGCATATCTAGTCTCCCTTACTTAATTATTGTTTGGAACCGAAATTTTAGAAATATTTAAACTTCTAGGCTATACAGCTTGTTAGACATGCCTTATCTGAATTTTGTGCAGTTTTCATGATTATTACAAATAAGCGCTCTGCAAGTTTAAGTAAGCACCAATAAAAAAACAAAAAAAAGGTTAACAATGAGGTTCTGATAGGAACCTCATCTAGTAGCATTTAAATTATAGTTGCACTACTTCCTTGGCTTCATTTGTAAGGAAAATATACTCTTAAAACTATATTCACACACTGGATAGTGTAGTATGAATTGCAACCATTAAGCCAGCAGTAGTTTCTTACGCCAAAAGTGTTCTTAGAAAGTATTCAAATTCTGGATTTGGGAAAAGATATGAGGTATTCTAGCATCTGTAAGTCACAAAATTAATCAATAAACCCTACTGTTAGAAACTAATAACAAATACCGACTCAGCAGGTAAGCATAAGATCAATTCTCAGAAAGACCTCAACATATACATGGTATTTCCTTGTCAAGAAAGCTTTCCTTGAAATCATTCCCATATGTGCGTCGTTTTGTCTTGACAAAATATTTTATTACATCTTCAGAATAGATAATACTTTCTTTTTAGGAAGAATATAGAAATAAACTGTATTATTTAAATTGTAATCTTGTTCCATAATCTACTATTAATAAAATATATTTTATAAAAATTTTTTGCAACTTCTATCACAGAAAGCTATTATTTTCCACTGTTACATTATTCAAGTCAAATTTCATCTCACATTACATATAAAACTCATAAAAACATAATCTCAATAGTTATTTCTAGAATGCATTACAACAAATATCAACTTACTTGTGACCTAAATGCTTCAGAAAGTATCCCAGAACCTTCAAAGCTTGAACCCAAATACTTTCACTTTTAGAAGCCAGTAATTTGTAGATCACCCTAAAAAATACATAAATTATCTTTTAAAAACTTACTAATGTTAAAAACAAAAACACACTATATACTTTACAAATAAATTATACAAATGTGAAATATAAAATTTCTCTGAAGATTTTATTCTCAGGATTATAATTCTTTGGAAAAACTAAAAACTAGCATGCTTTAATCATTTTTCTTTAAACATGTCCTTCAACCACACACTCAAAAGGGCAATGTGACTGGTGTTCATAAGTACTGCCTCCCAACATACTAAACACAATTTTCAGTTTTAAGACACATGCTTAGTTAGGCCACATCTCTTCTCTCTAAGAATTGGCCCCAACATTTAAACTTGATAACCCTATTTTCTTTCTTTTTTAAAATGTTTTTTCTTAATTTTAGTATAGAGGTGAGGTTTTGCCATATTGCCCAGGCTAGTCTGGAACTCCTGTGTTCAAACGATCCGACTACCTGGGCCTCCCAAAGTGCTGGAATTACAGGCGTGAGCCACTGCACCCTAACCCTGTTTTCCTGGTATGACTAATTAGACAATAGGTAGGCACCTGCCTAGTTATTTCTCCTTTTTGCGAATTTGGAATGAGGTCTAAGAAACAATATCTCCTCTTTGCTGGGCTCTTGAATTTGACAACTGTTTAAAACAGAAACTAGAACAGCAATGTTTTGCTTCTGTTCAGTAAGGCTAGTCAACATATAGAAGGAAGGATTAAACAGCTTACAGAAAGCAGCAGAGAAAGCAAACTTGTTTCCTAATAGCCCTCCAATTCCTGGTTCCTACTCTAAGATTTTTTTTAACAAATATATTATTCAGTTTTTACTTTAAAAGCTTGAGAGGTTTTCTCTTACTTGGAGCAAAATAGCCTCCACTAATATACAAACTAACCTATACAATCACTTCAAGTACTATATACAAGTAGGGCCATATTCATTATAATATTTGTAAGTGTTTAGACATTTTATTCCATATTTTTTCTACTAAAAAAAGCAATTTGTTTCCATAGAGTAGAAGGGACAGTGACAACTATATACACTGGCAACTAATTCTAGAATATAAGAAGGTTCTTTAGGTGCTAAAACACTACGGTGTGCTTTATTTTATTAAATATGTTTCTTAAAAAATAAAATGCCATTGTATATTTTCAGGTAAAGTACTCAGCTGAACAAAAGAATCTAGTAAAAGATGCAATATAATTTTCACAATTTCAGTGATACTTACAAAGGAGAACAAATAGCTTAAAGTTAATCTCATTATTTTTAGTTTTGCGAAGAGCTTATACTATTAAAAAAGAAGTTAGTGATACTGCTTCTTTTTCTCTTTTTTAGAGAATAAACTATTAGAGAATAACAGTTAAAGAATAAACTATGAGAATAAACTATGAGAAAAGAATAAACTATGAGAATAAGTGATTATTTAAAGAATAAACTATTAAAGAATAAACTCTGAGAAAAGTGATCATTTCCTTTGGAACATCTTTTTTTTCAAATCCCACATTCATAAATATGTATGGGTTAACACTGAAATCCATTTTCAAAACTTTTAGGAACCAAGATCAGTAATGAAAAAAGACAAGTTTGAGAATAGCAAAGTCAGACATGTCAAAAAAAAAATACATTCAAGAAATCATAAGATACAACATTAAACAGCAAAAATAGTCTTGAGAACCAGAGTAAAAGCTCACAGTCTGGGCCAGGCATGGTGGCTCACGCCTGTAACCCTAACACTTTAGGAGGCCAAGGTGGGCAGATTGCCTGAGCGCAGAAGTTCAAGAGCAGCCTAGGCAACATGGTGAAATCCTATCTCTACTAAAATACAAAAAAAATTAGTCAGGTGTGGTGGCACATGCCTGTCATGCCAGCTACTTGGGAGGCTAAGGCATGAGAACTGCTTGAACCCAGGAGGTGGAGGTTGCCGTGAGCCGAGATGGTGCCGCTGCACTCCAGCGTAGACAACAGAGTGAGACTCTGTCAAAAAAAAAAAAAAAAAAAAAAAAAAAAAAAAAAAAAAAAAAAAAAACCTCACAGTCTAAAAATGTGGCTACACTCAAACATAGAATTAGAAGTTCTCACAGAGTTTCTACTTTCTAGGAATAACTTTGAGTAGCAGGAAAAAAAGGTATCAGACCCTGCCCTGGATCAAGAGAAATTATGATTAATGTTGAAACATGAAAATGTCTAGGGCCATCACACATCTACTTACATAGGGATGTGATACCGTATGAATAAGAAATTTACTTTGTTAATGAATGTTTACTTGTAATATACACTATTACTAATTAACAATAATCCTAATTCATCTGCTTAAGCTCACTATATTCAGCCAGCAAATGGTCTAAGCTATATAAGACACGTAGTTGTCTATTCCTTTCTTTGAAAATTTCCAGATACAAAAATACCAATTTTTTGGCTGCTTAGTTCAGTGGTCCGTTATCACAAGGGCTTCCTTAAGCCCATTTAGCATATCATCAGAATTAAACTGAGTTCATTCTTTTTGTTCAACTATTATACTGAACTCAACTGTATGAATTACAACAGACCAGAATTTTCCTCCCAAAATACGTCATATACAACTGTTAGCCTTTAATGGCTATTTTCTAGAATACAGACATTTAAATGCTTCAGTCATTTTCAATATTTTCTATCTAATAAGCCTATTTTTTTCATCTTTTATACTATTCTGAACCAGCTTTCTCCGCATTTTTGAAGTAGAAAAGTTGAAGTGTCAAGGAAAGGCCGTTTTTTAATCTGTGTGATTGTTTTTAACACACTAGTGACAATCTGACATGCTCTGCTCATGGTCAGCCATGAGCACAAGTCCTTTTAATCTGTTGTGCTTAATCAGTTCTTTCGTACCATACATTTAAAATACTATGTAAATCCTAAAGATCTTACCAAATAGTACTCTCAATTGTAGAATCATATTTTTGATGTGTCAAAATAATAGAATTATATTTCTGCATTTCATCATATTAGACAATCTAAGTTTGGTATCTTCCATAAGAGTAATGTGGATATCTTCAACTGATTCACTAAATTTATTAGATAATATAATAAACAAAGCAAAATCTAAGGACAAGGACACTAATTATTCAATCTAAATATAAGTTCAGAAGTGAGTGTAACTGTACTATATTATTAGATCGAACTATATGAAATTGCCATTATTCGGTAAAATCAGTTAAATATCAACAGTAAAAAATTATAACAAGATTAAAAAATTATAACAGTTGTTAATCACTAAATGTATAATCTTCTTCAAATAGATTGGCAGCCCCATGAATTATAAACTCAAAGTAATAGGGATATCACAAGTGAGATATGCATACAGAGATAGTGATTGCTTCTCTAATTTGAAAAGGAGTTCTTCAAGTCTAGAAAGTTGTTATTCATTGATTTAAATGGCCAAGTAAAAAAAAAGCACTTAAAAAAGCCCTTGACAGTCACTGATATATTATTTCCAAACTGTTTTTTAAACTCTTTTTCACAATAAATTTGTGGAAATTCATTGCGTTATACATGATATAACCTTGATATCCTGCTCATCCCACTAATTAAAACTCCAGAAAAATAAAACAGAAGAATTCCTTAAGAAGCTAAATTATAGGGTTAAGTTCATAAAAATACTAATTAAGAAACTGGATTTCACCTATCTACCAAGTTACTTTTCAACTGCCACAACAAAAGTTGGTTTTCAATTTCTTTTGGCCTTGGCCTCTTATTCCAAAACATCTTTCATCTCTGTTATTTCCATTGCATTGCACTGCCACTGTCTCAGGTCGTCATCTTTATCATCTTTAATACAGATGAATAAAATAATCTCCCTGCTGATATTGCTATGTCAGTTTGTCCTTCAACTCATGTTTCACAGTGGTGATTGTAAATCTAACAAAACAGGTATCTGAGCACAACATTTCCCCTATTCAAAATTCTTTTTCATCACCAACTGAAAAAAAAAAAAAAAAAAACCACTGAAGTTATTACCATTCTATGAACCTTCCAAATCTGGCTATCATCTCTCTCAGGCCTCATATCATAAAATTTCATTGTATCCTCTTTTGGTAAAATGTGCCTTGCTTTTTTGTGTCTTCTTGAAAAAAAAAAAAAAGCTCTTTTCACAACTTGTAATGTCCTTACTATAGCAAAAACAATTTAATTACTCTTCTTGATTCCTGAGACTACTGTTTATACATACTTCATCAGTCTCCTGAGTATTCGAGGATCAATAGCAGCATTCTCCATTTATTCTCTTACGTGTAAGATTTTGCAATATTTATTCAAATATTCATAGGAGTTATTCTAGGAGGAACAACTGTGCTCCATTAAAGTCTAATAGTAATATCATACCTTATTCCATTTCTTTGATCAAATGCTGGTATCATTGACGCTGGGTGTTCTGACATTAAAGCCACTAGTAACTGTAGCACATCATGAATATTTTCATCCTGCATAAATCAACAAAATTGATTTAAAATTTTACTCTAAAGATTGGCTTAAATTATTAAAATAAAAGGCCCATAACATGTCCTACCTCATGCATCGTAAGTAGGTAATTTAATATACTCTGAAGTTCATCTTCCTTGACCCCTCGATCCTAATTTTTAAAAAATATTTTATTACTTTACATCTAAAATTAAAATTTTAATTTAAAAAAGATGTCAAAATAATCATTTTAAAAGAAAATAAGAGTAAGTTTAATATAGTGATATTTTAACTAAAATCCCCACACATTTCACAATTTATAGACTATATTATTTCAAGTTAATTAAGTAAATATTTAGAAACATATCAATTTTTAAGTCATTAATATTTGATTGACATTCACTATAAAAAGTTAGCATATTTTGACCATCTAAGTATTCTTATGACTATTTTCTAATCACTTACTCTTTCCTTAAAACAATATAAATGCAAGACTATACAGTATCAATTTTGGGGTACTATCCCACAATTTATTTTTATTTTCACTTTGGTTTCCTCTTAACATTTAAAACATCCTACTACAATAAAATGCATTATGTAAGCCTTCTTAAACTGGCACACAGATCATTCTCTAGAATAAGGGTCAATTATTATAAGAATAAGGGCTCAATTCTTATTCATATGTTCCTTGTCCATTTCTGTCACATCCCTTAATAGGGAAGATTTCAGAGAGCATTTAACCAGAAGTTAGTTAAGTTCAATAAAAGTTAATACTAAGATGTGCAGAATTTTGAAAGCAATTCATCACTTAAAGGTAGCTATTGCTAATTTAACAATAATAATTTTAAAACATGCCAGAAATTCCTTTCTACCTAATATACTGTAATTCTAAATTATATAAAATTATTTTACCTTCAGTATGAGCTGTTTCAGAAAAAGTAGCATAAATGCCCTCAGTGATATAATTTCTTTTTGTGATGGCCGGGGACCATCTAGAACAAAACAGAAAAAAAAAGTAAAAATAAAAAATACAAGATATTAAATAAGCTAAATGCAATTATGTTGGGATACTATGGCATTCTTGAATAATTATATGTATTTAAATTACAACATTTATATTAACGTTATACAATTTTAATAATATATGAGTATCCAAAAATTAGCTTTCAAATTTTTGGCAACTTCAAATTATTTACTGAATGTCTGATTTTGTGGAAAAAAGAACTTTTTAAAAAGTTGTAATATATTAATATCCATTTATAAATGTATAATCCCCAACTATTTATATTAATACTTTAATACTTTCTTGTTTTTATTACATTAATAGGTTTTCCAATATGTCTTCCATTCTCAATTAAATTTGTCTTCATTTAAGGACTCTCTCCATTTTCACCCCACACATTATTTAACAAAGCACAGAAAAAATGACACTCTGTTTTATTGTAATTATCTGCTTTTTAGCAGATTTCTTCTATGTCACTTGTATACAGAAAATACATATTATTGAGGGCATTTAATAAATGCTGTGTCAATAAGTGAAAATGAGCATAAAATATTAAAATGTGCATAACAGTTCTATCATAATGTACAAATTTTAAAGTAATTTCAAAATATCTAATTATTTTAAAAAATGAAAATATAATACATGTAATATGCATAATATACAATAAAGAATACTTTTAAAAAATGAAGCTGGATTCATAAAAATCCTTTAACATTAAGCCTTTCTTGTAGCAACCAGTATTTATCTACTGCTTGACAAGTTTTAAAAGCATAATCCCTTCATGTATAATTTATAGCATCTGCTTATTCACTTAATATTTACATGAAGATTATTACACCTGCAAGCAAGTTATTATCCAAAAAATCCATCCCGCCTATTATAATAAAAGAAGTACCTTCCCTATTTCCCAGACTGCTCTCCACCTTTTATTGCCCCACTGCCACCAAGATGCACAAAGTACTCTTCTCCTCCTATTGACACTGGTATTACTTTAAAAAAACTTTTCACTGTAAAATATTGCCAATGTACAGAAAACATACATGAACAACTTAATGAATTATCATAAAATGAACACCTGTATAAACACTTCTTTGGTCAATAAATTGAACACTGACAGTAGCCTGACAGGGAAACCCATCAACCACTGGTATGCTGGTAAAGGAATTATCTGCAGAGTGGGGGGATGAGGTCCTGATTTTGAGCATTTATGTATTTCTGATTTCTATCATATTAATAATAATCTGATTTTAAGTTCAAGATACCAACAGTTTAACAAACAGCTCATAAAATTCCTGAATATCTAACAACTGATTGTGGCCCCATCCTGCCCTGCGTGCCAAAACCCTCACCATGCTCCAGACCTCAGCTCTGTGCCACATTCCTTTTCCTGATCACATCCCCATTCCATCCAAAAACACACAGATACTGCCTTAGTAATAATTTCCTTATTCTTACTTCTATTTCTGCTACCAATTAATAAAATTGGACCAGTTTTATAACATCTCTGTGCCTTAGGTTTGTTTTCTTGTTTATTGCTAGGGTAAGAATAATACTACTGCTTGTCATAGGACGTCTTGCGAGGATTAAATGGATCAACATATGTAAAGGAATTAGACTAGTACCAGGCCCATTTTAATCATAAGCACTCAAATGTTAGCAATAATCACTTTTATTGTATACTGCACAATACAAACAGCATGCTGCAAAGAAATACATACATATTTGTGTGTTTTGTGCTTGATATAAATCCATTTCTACAAAATAAAATACAAACTGATTTATCTAACAAATATAAAATTGAATGAAAAAACAAATCCCCAAATAACACTATTTATGTAACATACAGAAGCTAAACAATAAATTAGTAATACATACATAAATAGTAAAAGAGCAAAGCATAGTAAAAAAATAATAAGCACCCAAGTAAAGAAAAGAAATAATGTAAAATTTGGGATGGGGTTATTTCTATGACAGGGAATAGAAAAGAGATGTGATCACGCATGAGAATATTCAGGCTCATTGGGAATGTTCTGTTTCTTAAGCTTAGTGATGTTTAAGTGAGGTTCATTTTATATTTATATTTATATTTATAACATGTTTACATATTACACTGATATATGTAATTACACCACTTTGTGTTCATGATATATTCAAAATAAAGCTTTGAAACACCTATGTGTGTGCACGAGTAAGCTCATGTTTGTATGAGCAGAGAAAAGGCAGTAGAGAGATATACAAGACTGGTAACATTGGCTACCTGGGAGAGTAGTAACATTTTATTTATAAACCTTTGTATTATTTCACTTGCTACCATAAATACATATTACCTGTCCTATAATACTTTTAATATATCTCAATGCTTCTACAGTTAACTATATAAATCATAATTTAAGAGACAAAAGTGTTAAGTCATAGTCAAAGCAAAAATATCCTACTTCTCAAGGTGAGTGCCTACACATGAACAGTTCTACGAAAGCTAGTGTTGTGCAAATTATCTTTAGAGTATCCTTAAAAGAAAGCATTTGTTTAAAATGGTATTGAAAAATGCTGTCATTTAGAAAACTACATACTTCAAGTCAGAACCTTATGTTCTACTATATAAAAAAAATTAATTTCAAAGCATTAAAATGTTAAAGTAAAATAATTATTTAAATGACAAAGAAAAATAAATGCTCATTCCACTTTCCTGTCATTTTCATTTAAAATATATGTACTGGTTCTCTTCCTTTCCCTCTCTTTGATGTAGCTACAGCCAGTGAGGCCTCAGGGGCAAGGGTTCTATGGAAGGAGCAGAGGCTCTGGTGATCCCCAGGGTCTTACAGAGCCAAAGAGGCAAGTGAGTCTGGAAGGACTTCCAGGGTCAGGCCAAGGAGACAGTAGAGGTCAGGAGGGTGGCCAGTGCCAAAGAAACAACTGGGGCTGAGGAGACAACAAGGGCCATACAGAGTTAAAATCTGAGGGTATGGTTACAGATGACCAGCAATGTTAAAGCTGAGAAGGTTATGGTGTATGTATCAAAACACTGGTTTTACAAAGTAGAATAAGAAAATATATAAATGTATTAAAGACAATAGAAGCAAGATTTCTCACTATTGAAGAAGAAAGCTGCAAACTTAAAAAGTTTGAGGCTAGGTTGAGCCATGTGGCTTTGGACTGTAATTGAAGGTACTGCTGTGAACTCATGGTTTTAATATAGATAAATCAGTTGAGATATACCTATATACATAGATAGGAACATCATTTCCTAGATCTGTCCACTAAGAGTATGTAGAAGCAATGACATTCAAAAACCAAGAAGCACACCTCACATCCAGATCTTGGTTCCTAAAAACCATATCCACCAAGCAAAGCAGGGCTTCTTGGAAAAATGGCTAATTTCAGGGCTGGGATAAGCAAAGTGTAGGACAAGTCAGAAACATCATGTTTCAGAAAGTAAGAAAGTATTAAAACTTACGGGCATTTGTCCCATAATCCATGTGAAGGGTCCTACTGGCCAAATCTTGAGCATTAAAATAATGATACAACCCAGGAGACAGAGAAACCACAGCCCTAGGACTAAAGTCATCAGGCCACTTGTTTCTGTAAGTTTCACTAAAACAAGCCACACCTATTCATTTACATGCTGTCTGTGGTTATTTCTGCAATACAATGTCAGAGCTGACTATGCGCAACAGAGACCTTATGGCTCCCTGAGCCTAAAACACTATCTGGCCCTTTGCCAAGAAAGTATGCCAACTGTTCATATAACACATTGAATACATGAGTCCATACTGATATAAAAGATGTCAGATAGATAGATGGATGGATGGATGGATAGATAGATAGATAGATAGATAGATAGATAGATAGATAGAGAGATAGATAGATAGACAGACAGACAGACAGACAAGAGGAGTAAAACAAGTTCTTCCTCACAGCAGATATGCCAACTTAATTATGTCTTAGAAAACATCATCATTTGTCAGTCATCACAATAAAGATAATTTCTAGTAAGAATCATCAACGAACTAAAATAAGTAAACTTGGTTGAAGAACAGGTTATTTATATAGTTTCAATGTATTTCTCCACCAAATATTTATTAATTACCAAAGAGAAGGGAGTGATTTTTAATGAAGAAACCTGGAATATAACACCTTAATCAAATGTTTAAAGTTAACATCACTTGGAAAAGGACAGCTCAACATCATGTGCTTCTTTGACACAATACAAGGAGACAGATACAATATGACTTCTGTAATTTCTTGTAAAAATGAAAAACCTGAATCATCATGGACAAATAGAAAATTCAAATTTAAGGTTATCCAAAAAAAAAAAACTGGTCTGTATTCTTCAAAAATGTCAAGGTCCTGAAAGACAAGGAAATACTAAAAAACTATTCTACACTGAAGAACATTAAAAGTAAGAATGCAACTAAGCACAACATATGATCCTCAACAGACTTAGGGCAAAAGAATTTTTTTCCTGGAAAGGACATCATTATTGTAATTAGTGAAATTTGAATGGGGTCTGTGAATTAGATGATAATATTATATTAATGCTAACTTACTGACATTAATGGGTATCCTCTGGTTATTTAACAAAGTGCCTTTACCTTTCAGGAAATACACAATATTTAGAGGTGAGAGGGTATCATGTCTACAATTTATTATCAATTGATTCAGAAAAAAATATGTGTATGTATCTGCAGGTGTGCTTATATATACATAAAAAGAGAGCATGAGAGAATAGTAAAGGCTAAAGTGGTAAGATATAAAATACTGACAATCTGGTGAGGGACATATAAGAATTCTTTGTGCAATGCTTACAACTTTGTAACTTTTCTGTAAATTAGAAATTAATATTATAAGGCAAAAATTATTATGTGTGAATATAAGATCTGTTTAGAGCAAATGCTATCATAGTGTAGCATTTAAGAACTAGGTCTCTGAGTCAGATGGATATGATTCAAATTTTGGTGCTGGTGGGTTTGTATCAACTTTCAGTTTCCTAATCTTTAAAATGAGGATGATATCAAAAAAAAGTTATATATAGATGCAGTCTTATGTATGTATATGGATATGTCTATAATTACTATATATATTATTAAATTAATATGTAGAGTGCTTGGCAGAAAAATCTAATAAATCTTAGGCATTACCAACTTAAAAGCAATGGAAGAAGCCATAAAAGGACAAAATAACAGATCTGAGTATAATTAACTTCTAAAGCCCCATTAATAAAATAAAAAGACATTATAAAAGTAAGCTTATATAAACATTAAAATAGTAAAATGGGAGGCCGAGTTGGGCGGATCACGAGGTCAGGAGATCGAGACCATCCTGCCTAACACGATGAAACCCCATCTCTACTAAAAATATAAAAAAAATTAGCGGGGCATGGTGGTGGGCACCTGTAGTCCCAGCTACTCAGGAGGCTGAGGCAGGAGAATGGCGTGAACCCAGGAGGTGGAGCTTGCAGTGAGCCGAGACTGCGCCACTGCACTCCAGCCTGGGTGACAGAGCAAGACTCCGTTTCAAAAAAAAAAAAAGAAACACGATCCAAATATATGCTGCTTATAGGAAACACACTTTAGCCCCTGCACTCCAGCCTGGGTGACAGAGCAAGACTCTGTCTCAAAAAAAAGAAAAAAGAAAAAAATTGGAAAGTGCTATTTTTCCTTATCAACAGGATTATTATAAAACTATAATATTCAATGCTATTGTGAGCACGCAAAAGGAAATACTGTAACATACTACTGGCAAAACTGTAAAATAATATGACATTCCTGAAAAAAATTTAAAATATTTGTCATTAGCCCCTTTCTCAGTAATTTTAAACAAATCAAAGATGGAGGTAAACACATATATAAATGAGAGAATTCTCTAATATTTACAGAATCAAAACTTTAGAAACAATGTAAATGGTACATCCCCTTACATTACTACATTAAGCTGAGAAAAGAACAAGATAGAAAAATTGAGAAAATCTCAATCTATAATTATAAAGTTTAAATATTTTCATATACGTATGCAATGAGAAACACTGGAAGAAAACACGACAAAATCATATCAGTAATTATTCTTGGGGTTTGGGTCATAAATATATTTTTTCTTCTGTATTATTTTATTTTCTATATTTTTGTATAATTAGAAAAACTGGCTATATTTTCAAAACAAAAAAGAAATCACAGTGAAGAACTAAATTAGTTTCCACTATAGTCAGAACAAAGGATAAATTTGGAAAAAAAAAATTTTAAAAAGTAGCAATCTGAAAATGTTGAAAGCAACTGATGTATTAGAACACACCAGTTACAACCAATATGATTTATCTGTTTTTAATATTATGAAGTATTTTCCTGAATGAAAAAAAGCATATAGGCTAAAATAATACTGTTGCTTTTCATCTTATTCCAAAATAATTTAATATTGAAAAGCCCTAAACTTCTTTACCACAAACCATTCTCAATATGCCAGTTTGCTACATAAGAAAGAAAACATTTCAGTGATTTCACAGTCATGTACACTGCTCACTGTAACAGTACTCAGAATACAGAATAATCATAGGCAAATGTAAATACAGAGGAAGTGTTATACATACCTAATCCTTTAGGTGTAATGCCACTACTGTCAGCAGGATTAATAACCCAGTAGTAATATTTTAAGGTGTGCATTAGCTGTAATACTGTTCCTACTCTGCGTATGGTGGTGTAGATGGTAGCAGTTCCAATAAATTCAGCAGACAAATATGTGTATAGGGAAAGTTGAACCTAATACAGAATATTAACAAATCATCAAAATGAATTTAAAATGCCTCAAGTGCTTATATTATAAATATACATTCAGTTTTAATTTAAATGCGAATTAGTAAAGGTCAAGAGATGACCATTTTTTATGAGGTTGAAAATAACTTCCTTCTTCGATATTATTTATATTTAAAAATATATAATCTGCAATTAACATATTCTAATAAACTTATTATAATAAAGGTAGCCTAATAGCTGTGGCAGTTAAATAATTTTAAAATGATTTAATAATTTATTGAAATTAATCTGATAAAAAGATTAAAATATTTTAAAAGTCAACTAAAGCTCTTAAAATACATTTCAGTAGCTTTCAGTGTATAAATTTCTTCATACCAACAGAACATCAGTCAGCTAAAGCATATCTGAAAACATATATATTTTTGTCATATATTCTAAAAGTTCATGCAATTTCAAATTCTCCTCACCTATGGCCATAATACATAGTTCGCTTTCACAATCTGACCATGTGAGCATACAGATGGAATGTCAGACATCTTGCTTAGAAGAGTTCTCAAAATTCAGATTTGGGTTTAGGCAATAATTAGTAACTTGGTGAGATATTTTTAAACTGTAAAAGATAGCTCAAAATCAAAAAATCCCTCATTATTGATTTCAACTAGGACTAAATCCTTGTATATAAAATAATAAGAATTTTCTGTTATTATCTGGAAAAATACTTATTTCATGTATATATTTATTTTTAAATTAGTATTATTTACATGTCATGATATAAATTCTGCCTTCAAAATGAAAGCAATTTTCCAGCAAAATGATTACAGTCATAATACAATTAGTTCTCCGTTCTCTTTCCTCGTCTTTCAAAAATTGGTATAGCTAATTCTCTTCATTGGAAAAGTATGTATCACATCTAAAGATGTTAGAATGCAAAAGATTATTTTTTACCTATTGTTTCATTTATTTTACTACTTATAAATATTTTGATCTCCTGATACTGCCTAACACAATTGCCGCAGATTAACTATAAAATAAGCTAAAATGTTTAAATGTTTTCCACTGGATACTTTAGATCCAGCAACTATAATGTATAACATTGCACTAAAACAAACTGAGTAAGTATAAAATTCATACCTTTGCAGGTGTATGTATCCAGATGGCTGGGTTAAATAAAATGTGATCACAAAGCTGCTTCAGTAAAGGTGCTCCATGAGATAAACCATCAAGGTATTTTGCAAAAGATAAAAATTGCTCCAGGACAGCTCTAGTTATATGAACTCTTGATGACTAAGAAAGAAAACAGAAATTCTAGCTTGAAATATCCAGAATATCAAATTGTGTAATTTCTGACTTAGTATAAGCACACATGAATTTTTCATATGCTATCCCTAATATGAAATAAACATTTATATTTTCTTTGCCACGAAAATATAATTTTTTAAGATATCTGAAATTTTAGCTATTTCTTTGAGTGATAGCTTGTTATTTGAAGTCCAATCTAAGACAATTATAGATAAATAATTCAAGTTAAATAATGCTACTATTAGATAAAGCTAAGGAAATGAAATATTGTAAACGTCTTCATTTCATTTTTTATAGAAATTGACATACAAGAAGAGATCTTAGACATAGAAATAAAAAGTGATAGTGTTTAAAATATGTAAAAATACAGCTTAAAATATGTAAAATACTTCTTAAAATATTATTTCCTTGATCTTCTCTTCTCCCATAAATACCCTATCTTTGGATGACATATGCTTTCATAGCTTCATATAACACTATGTCTATGCTGAGTACTCGCTTCAAGAATTTTCAATGGCTATCACCATGTACCTATTACCAACCGTATTTAAACAACAGACTCTCCAAAATTGAAACCAAACCTTAAAGCTTAACCATCTCATATAGTAGCCAGAAGCCCTACGTGGCAGTTGAGCTGCTGGAATGTTGCAATTGAAAGTGAGATGCGTTGTAAGTATGAAAAAAACTGGGTTTTTCCAGCTCAGAATATTTTTTAAAATCGTATTTTCTTATTGAATAGATGTTGAAATAATATTTTGCATATTATCAAAATAAAACAGTAGGCTATATACATTATTAAAATTAATACCACCTGCAATTTTTTACTAGAAAATATTAAATTGCACCTGAGGCTTGAATTGTATTTTAATTGGACAATGCTATCCTAGAATACAATTTCAGATAAAATTGCTATAATATTAAAAAATGCTTTTTATTAAAACTGATAATTCAAACTCAAACATCAAAAAATACATCTTCCTACACAAATCTTTTCTTCCTCATCTAGTGATACTATTGTGTAGTATCACTATCCTTTCAATCATAGGGTAAAGAATCACCTACCACTGAGTCCTAAAGCACACATCACACACATCTTTCCTCCCTTTTCTTCACTGACTGAAGTCTGAATATCAGTTTAAGATGATCTAAGTTTAAAAGGGATGAAATCGTCTTACCAAGTTTACCTCCCATATGATTTAGTTACATTTCTCATGTTCATAATAAGGACAACTCAATAAATTTGACTTAAGCACATCATGAATTTTCACACTTCCACATAAAAGGTCACAAACTGAAATGATCGCAAATAGCTAACAACAATGTGTAAACTAGAGTAGGAGACAGTAAAGAGTGGTGAAGACCAAAACTAAACCTCTTTGTTGAGTCCTACAGATATTCCTGTGGGCCAATTTCACCCACAGGACACGTTTACTTCCCCTCCTTTACCATCTTGCTCCCCCAGTTTGTAACACCTCTGAATACATTTCCTTTACCTTAAAGGTAGAGCTCAAGACTTTTAGTCACTTAGAAAATACACATGTTGATTACTCACTATTAGTCAAGTACGCTCCCTGGCATTGTCAAAAAAGCAGCTAACAAAATTGAAAAAACTCTGCCTCACAGAACATATTCTAAGAGATGATAAGTCAGGAACACATAGTAAATAAAATAAAAAGGAAAAATATGTAACATGTTAGAGGTTACTAAGTTCATGGAAGAAACTATGGTGCAGATAAAACATTTGTAGAAGGATGGTTAACAGGTTTTACTAAGAAGGGGGCATTTAATTGGTTCAAATTATTACAAGGTTAAAAATGATCTCACACTAATATAATAATGTGTCTGACAAAATTACCAATGGTGCTTACATAAGCAATAACCTACAAAATTCAAATCAAGACTTAGTACATAATTTTCAATGAAATTCAAATCAAAATTTAGTACATAATTTTCAATGAAAATTTTACAAAAGATGGTGGAAATGATCTAAATAAACAGCTGAGTTAATAAAGGAGGGGAACCAAAACAAACATTTGAGTTTAAAAAGTAAAGAGCAGGTAATCATATTTAAAGGAATATCAATGAAAATAATATAGTACTTTGTAAGGGAATGAAATTAAAATAAGAGATCACTAGTTACTTAAAACTGTAGCCAGCTCCTTCACTAATTACAATTTCACATAGCTTATCTTATACATTCTATTTTTATTCAGTAGTAATGATTTCAAGAACATGATCTGATACATTCTACTCTTACACGTAAAACTCTAAAACAGAATACACTCATATCCTGTTACTAAACATGCTATGTGACCAGACTGTAGCTCATAAAAATTATTCATCATGTCCTTATAAAGAACATTAACCTGTATTATAAAATCAGGCTGACCATTATAAACATATCCACTTGATGAATTCATAATATAAAAACAAGTTTGGAACTTGGACCATGATATTAAAAGATATACTAGAAGCAACACAAGGCCTTCCACATTACTTTAAAAAAAAAAAAAAAAAAAGCCTGTTGTTTTTGCATACCAATTAATGCTGTTGGGTAGCAGATTTGCATTCTAAAATTATTCTTCAGAAAATATTTTTCTAAAATTGTGTCTTTTAATTTCCCTACTCAAAATCCTACTATTCTGGATTGTAAATAGTATATAAATGTATAAATGAATATTCTCTTCAACCGCATGTTACCTTTACCTCTTAGTAGTACTTATTTCTTCTTCCTTGTATTACTGTTAGTGTAAAAAAAAAAATCTCTTTCCTAATACAAGAAAGATATTATCTTATTCATCTTTTTTCCTCCTGATCCCTACCCTAATTTCTCAGGAAACATTTAACTGAATTAATGTCATATTCAAAAACAGAGTAAGAACAGAATAGGTAGGAAAAAACACAGCCTGGGAAAAGAAGAAAGAAGATCTCTAACTCTGCTTTTAAATGTATTTCCTTTGATTAACAGTTTTAAAATATTTTTATATTTTGGTATTTGTATTCATTTTCTCAAGTAAAGCTATTTTAAAAGGAGATCTATACTTGGATAATTTATAGTTATAAATCTGTAACTTTTAGATGGAAATACAATTTAAATCTCATAGAAAATGTAAGCTCTGGAATTTGATCCATATATTACTTTTATGTGGTGGCAGAACACACAATTTTTAAGAAGTGCTATATGTAATATGGCAAACCATATTTAGAAATAATATCTGAGAAGTTATAAAATTGCTGCATTATAGTATCCACTCCAGAATTAACTAAACCAAATAGGAGCACTGGAGGTTACAAAGAGAAACTTCTTTTCAATAAAGAGAGATTGTTCCAACATTTAGATTAGCCCATAACGGAACAGGTTATCAGAAACATTCATTTTTATTGTAGAAACCATTATACATACACACACATATACATATAATGCATATAATGTGAATGAGTATATATTCAATAAATTGTGTAAAACTATTGCAATTGTAGAGGTACATCATAAAGTAGTCTATTATCCATTCTGCTCCTCCCAGGACTTCAAGGTTTTGCTCCAAACAGCCTAATCCAACCAGATTATTCATTTGTTGTTGTTTTGGTATGGAGTGATAAGGGAGGGTAGCAAGCAATGATTAGCTCAGAGACTCGGTATCAAAGTTTAGCATTCTCATAGCAACAACTGGTTCAATGGTAGGTCAGCCAAGCTCTAAGCTAACCAATCAAATTGGAGAGAAGAAACTTGCTCAATTGACAGAAAGGAGCTCACTTTCTTTACCTGGATGTGAAGGCATACAGCACCAATTCTCTCTGGCAGCATTGTGACCTCAAACAGTATCGGCTTTAGCATAAAATCAACACTATAGCTGGTACAGTAGAGATACAGACAAAACCTGGGTCTCTGATGACATTATTGAGACCCAGATAACCCAGCCCTGAAAGACAGCTTACTGTTTGCTGCTTTTCCAACCTTTTGCTGCCTTTCCAATATTCCCTGTCCTATTCTCATGCTTGGGATGCTCTATTGCCTACTGGTTTCTAGTTGGGTTTGACTAATTGAAGACATTACCAAGAAATTAAAGGACAGAAAGAAAATGAATTTGGGTATATATTTTCCAGATTTTACCCCTTCAGTACACTTACACTATACTCCTTTCTTGAAGACCACACTCCCATCAGGTACCCTTCTCCTAACAGCTACAACAACTTTCTCTTTGGGTTATACTAAACACTTATTTCCCTCATCTCTTCAAATCTTGCCAAGCTCCCTGATTACAACTTTTTAAATATCCTTGCATTAAACTCTTCTCAAAAACGTAGGTTGAGTATGCCATCTGTTTCTTGCCAAGAATATAACTGACAAGCCATCTAATACTAGACTTTCAGTTACATTAGTTAGTATATTTTCTTAATGTTTAAGATACTTTGAATCAAATTTTCTACTAACCACAATCAAAAATATCCTATTGAATCACTGGATAACCTCTAAGTTTTCCATAAGATCGTATTTTGGCAAAACAAAACAAAAACACCTTAAAATTTTTTGTGGAACAGTAAAATGTTTATTAATAAAAAGGCCTCTCACATACTCTCTTCCTAAGATATCTTCTATGACAAGGAGATACAAAAGCTAAGTTGCAGTTAACCAGTAACCTGTTATCAGTTAAGCAATTAAAAAATGAAAATTCTATTACTATACTATTAATACTAACCTTGCCACTGATTATTTAAAAACAATACAATGTGAGCATTTCTCTAAGAAAGGTAAAAGAGTTACTCTTTCTTAGGTAATCAGACAAGCATGCAAGGACTTTTCATATACTCAATTCAACAACTATTTACTGAGCCAAGCACTGCTCTAGGTGCTGAAGATATAACAATAAGGGGAGACAAAAATATACATACATTGCCCCTGCTTTCATGAATCCTACATTCTAGCAGAAGGAGGCAGAAAATTAGTAAAAAATATAAAACATGCCAGAATGGTGCTACACAATTAG